GATGAGGAGAGAGCGAGGGAGAGGGGGACTGGAGTGGGAAGGAGGTGGAGGGCGAGAGAGGAGAGGGGTGAAACGGGAGGAGATTAGGAACAAGTAAGGGAGGGAGAAGGGGAGGGGAGGAGAAAGAGAGCACGGGTACGGGCGGCGGGCGCAGGGAGAGAGAGGAGAGAGCAGGAGAGGAGGAGCCAGGAAGAGAGGGGAGGGGCACGCGGGGAAGAGAGAAGAGAGAGAAAGAGAAGAAAGCAAACCATGCAAAGGAAGAAAGGAAAGGACAAGGAAAGAACACGAGAGGGAGGGGAACGGGCTGGCGGGTGCGGTTCATGAGAGCAGCCATAGGAAAAGGTGTGGGGATAGACAGGGTGGCTGGGTGGGGTTGTGCGCGAGGCCCGGGTTCACACTGCAGCTTGCCCACCTTTGAGGCCAGGAACACGGACATTTAAGAGCGGGCCGGACGGAGGGTGGGTTCGATGCTTGTAAGCCCCAGCACGGTCGAGCCGAGCCAGGCGAGGTCAGCCGGAGGTCGCGGAGTTCGAAGACCAGCGCGGACGCAACATGGAGAAACCCCGGCTACTATTAAAAATACAAAATTAGCCGGGCGGTGGGTGGCACATGCCTGTAAGCCCCAGACACGGCGGGCGGCGGAGCAGGAGAGAGCGTCGGGAATCCCCAGGAGGCGGAGGGGGGTGTAATGGCATGTGCCTGTGGTCTCAGCTACCTGGGAGACTGAGATGGGAGGATCGCTTGAGCCCGGGAATTTGAGGCTACAATGCACTATGACTGCACCACTGTAATCCAGCCTGGGCAATACAGCAAGACCCTGTCTCTAAAATAAAAAATAAAGATGGTCAGAAGGTGGCAGTGAGGGCTGGTGGACAGAGCCCTGACTTTGGGCTCAGAGAGACCTCAAATCCCAACTCTGCCACCTCCCAGCCTCTGTCTTTTCATCTGCAGAATAGGGGCAGTAAAGCTAAGCCCGAAGAGCTGCTGGGAGCCTCAGTGAGGAAAGAGATGAGAAGCACCAACCCTGGGCCTGGCACTCAGTAGATGCTCCTAATCAAATACACGGGACAGCATCTGGCAGGGCAGGCACACAGTAGGTGCTTAATAACTATTCTTGCAGGAGTGAATTTGCCCAAAGCCAAATACTTTTAACAAGCTGGGTTTGGTAATGAGCCTTCTTTCTCCCAAATGTGGAGACCTTTATTGTGCTGGCAAATATTTTGCCTGGAGAGAAAAACAGCCTCCTTGGTGGGAAGTTTCCGAGGGAGTTTCGTCCCCTCCCCTTGCTAAACAGACGACCCTGTGTGCCTGCTGGCTGTCTGCTGCGGAGTAGAAGCCTCCCTGACTCCACCAACCTTCCCGCTTTATACTTCCCTCCCCCTTTTAAATTCTACAGCTTCTAACCAAATTCCACAACCTGAGAATGTTCCCTTCCACTCAACAAGCTCACCTTCAACATCCGGTCTTTTCCCCTTCCTCTAAAACCCCCAAAGGTTAAGAAAACACCCATGAGGCTTTGAGGATCTTGTGACGCTTACCAGACAGACACAGACGGTGCAGTTCTCGTTGGGAGGTGAAAACACGTCCCCTTCAGCTCGGACGACACCACTGTGAAAACAGTCTTTGAAGGACAAATAGGAGGTAAAAGCATCAGACCTCTTCAAAGAGGAAGCTTGAGGTCTCGCTGCTTCTCCATGCTTAATGTACCTGGAACATTCTCTCACTGCCCTAGGTGTCCCAGGAGTGGCAGATTCAGGGTACTCTGACTGTGTGGTCCTGCAAGGATCAGTTGTGGTGGCCCCAGGAGGGTCCATCCCTGTCTCACAAACTCACAACTGTCTGGAGGGCACAGCATTTTCTTCCCAGAGGGCAGGAAAGGCAGCCTGGGTTCAAAACCTGAGGCCAGGCGCAGTGGCTCACACCTGTAATCCCAGCACTTTGGGAGGCCGAGGCTGGCAGATCACAAGGTCAGGAGTTTGAGACCAGCCTGGCCAACATGGTGAAACTCCGTCTCTACTGAAAATACAAAAATTAGCCAGGCCTGGTGGTGTGTGCCTGTAATCCCACTACTGGGGAGGTTGAAGCAGGAGAATCGCTTGAACCCGGGAGGCAGACGTTGCAGTGAGCCAAGATCGCGCCACTGCACTCCAGCCTGGGCAACAGAGTGAGACTCCGTCTTAAAAAAAAGAAAAAGAAGAAGAAAACCCTGGCCCTCTAGCTCCATTAACCAGCTTGGCCCTGGACATGTTCACCTCTCTGGTACCCAGCTGTCTTCACTGCAAAATGAAAACACCACCATGTACCCTGCAGGGAACTTGGAAGGATCCAACACCTGGGCAATAAAGTACCCAATACTTTGCACTCAGGACTCAGCATGTATCGGGGACATAACCCACAACAGTAACTAAGAAAATCAAGCCAGGCACGGCGGCTCATGCCTGTTTTTTTTTTTTGAGCCAAGGTCTCGCTCTGTTGCCCAGGCTAGAGTGCAGTGGCACAATCATGGCTCACTGCAGCCTCAACCTCCTGGGCTCAGGTGATCCTCCCACCTCAGTCTCCCAGGCAGGTAGGACTACAGGTACACGCCACCATACCTGGCTAATTTTTTGTATTTTTTGTAGACACAGGGCTAGTCTCAAACTCCTGGGCTCAAGTGATCCGCCCACCTCCGCCTCCCAAAGTGCTGGGATTACAGGCTTCAGCCAGCATGCCTAGCCAAGAATCTGCATTTTAATAAGAGTCCCCTTGATCCAAGTGCAGAGCAAGTTTCGAGAAGCTCTGTGAAGGATCTGTGAAGAATTTGGGTCCCTATTCTTCCAGCAATGAGAAGCAAATGAAAAATCATCAGCAGATGGCGGGCGTAGTCAAAAAGGGGACAGAATTTAGAAACAATGACTCCTCCCCCTGTAGGAGGGGAACTGGGGCAGGAGAAGGGGACTGCACAGTGGATTTAAAGAGGCTCAATGAATGACTGAATAAATGAATGAGCAAATGAAGCTGAAAGCAATGCCCGGAAGATGAAAAGTCCCCCTTGAGGGATATTACAGCATAAACGGGTGGTTCTCAAAGTGTGGTCACTAGACCAGGCACATCAGTATCACCTGGGAACCTGTTCAAATGCACATGTTCTGGCCCTATCCCAGACCTACTGAATCAGAAGCTCTAGGGACAGTGCCAAGGAAAGTGTGGCTTGGTAAGCCCTCCAGGAGATTCTAATGTACACTAATGTTAAAGAACAGCCTTTTGGCGGCAGGAGGGTGCAGAGAAAGGAAGAGGCAGGGCTATGTCCTTCCCTGGCACCAGCTCTCACCTGTGCATGATGGGCAGCACCCCCCATCTTTGGAGGGAATTGGGTGGGAACAAGCAGCTTCACACCTCACCTTTTCACAGGTCACCTTCCCATCCTAGAAGCACAACCAGGAGTTACAGCCATCACAAGGCCCCAGACTCCAGACCAAAGAAGTTCCAGGGACCCCTAGTACCCACCTTGCACCAGCACTGGGAACACCCAGGCTCTGTCCAGCGACTCCCTGATTCAAGCATAGCTCCCAGGTGCCAGCAGGGAGAGGGCCCTGCTGCCAGCCAGGGGGCCTTAGGGCCCCTGGGTGAGGAAGGGGTCCCCATCACTTCCCCATGAAGGAGTGAGGGGGGTCTGAGGTTCCCCAGCAGTGAGGCAGTAGGCACTGGGGTGGCCATCAGGGTGGACAGCAGCCACACAGGGGCAGAAGGGGAGGATGTGGGTAGTGGTGGGGTGGGAGATGGCAGGCGGGTGGTCCTGACTCCGGCTGGGGGCCCTGGAGCCCCAGAAGGAGGGCTATGTCCTGGGGACAGGGCAGGCCGGCCGGCCTCAGGAAGCAACAGGAGCATCTTGGACGGGTGTTGCCGGGGTTGCAGGATGGCAGATGGGGCCAGCACAGCTTTCGGGAAAGCTGAAACAGAAGCACGGAGGTCTGTTGGGGTGGGCAGCAGAGACAGGAGGCAAGGTTTAGGGAGACCTGGGCTCAGCTCCACCACAAGCCCCTGTTTACCCCCGTGGTCCGCGCAACATTCTACCATGTTTATGGGCACACTGTCGCCGTGCGACAGAGCGAACCACGGAAATGGTTGTCGCTGCAGCCCATGTTATTCTGACTCCTTGTTGGGTTTTATCCTTTTATCATTTGGGAAAAAACAGAAGGGCTGGGGAAACAGTGAAAAGAAGAGGGAAATGGATAAAGAAGTGGGAAAAAAAAAAAGCGAGGAAGAAAGGGGAGTGTTGGAAGTAACAAACAAGATGAACTGAAAACAAGGGCAGACGGAAATAAGGGGGCCTGGCGCCAGGTGGGCGGGGCCGTGGCAGGGCAGGGCCAGGCGCTGAGAGGGCATGGCTGGGTGCCCCGAGGGCGTGAATGGGGAGGGGACAGGCTCTGAGGGGGCGTGGCCAGTCGCCGACTGTAGGGAGGGGAGGGGGACCTCACCTTCACAGGACACGCGGTCAGCTCGGAGCCGGAAGCCAGGTCGGCATGTGCATAGGAAGCTGCCCACGGTGTTGTGGCAGGAATGATGACAGACTCGCCTCTCCAATGGCCTCCGACACTCGTTTACATCTGCGGGAGAGCCTCGCTGCGGACAGCTGCTTTGTTTGGGGTACCGAGCCCTTCTTCCGCCCATCCCTTAGCTCAGAAGACTTGGGGAGTTTCCCTGCCACGTTCTTACAGGGTCCATCCCTGCCCCAAGGTGCGGGATGTGACTCAGGCAGTTGGGAGCGGGGCTGAAATCTAGTGCTAGTCTCGTTGATAGGTTCACATATCCAGCAGGCATTTAATGCGAGTATCAGACTCAGCCCCAGCACTATGCAGTGGTAATTAATTGCTGCCTGGTAGGGATAAATCCCGCTGAGAAGCTCATCTCCAAACCTTCCACCCTCCCGTTTTTCTTTCCGAAAAAAGTCTCAAAACTCACTGAGCTGCTCAAGGTAGGCTTCGGGACAAATACCTAACTCCGCTAGAACAAGGTCTTTTTTCAGGCCCATGGGACCCCACCTTCAGCCCATGAGCCAAGCTCAAACCAAACATGCCAATCCCTTTCTGGAAATTTCTGCTAATGGGCTGAGAAAACAGGGTCTCCTTCTAAACCAGAGGAACCAAGACATAACGTGCTTTATTTACCAAGGGGAGCAAAGGCAGCCAAGAAAATGGGTGAGCAGAGAGGAATCCTTGGGGTGTATCTGGGAGAGGAGCGGAAGAGAAACATAACAGGATGAAAGTGGCAAATGGCCAGGAAAAGTCCAAGACAGGGTCTTCATGCAGAGCCACGCCAACCCCAGGGACAGGCAGGCTCTGAGCAAAGGCTCAAGCCCCTTCAGGCTCCAGAGGACCAGAAGGTCTGATTGTTAACCTTCCCGGGTCCCTGGGCTCCCTGTCCATCTTCCTGATTGGCAGCCTAAGTGTGCAGACCACAGCGTCCTCCCCGCCTTACCTACACAGGAGTGCCGGTTGCCATGAAGGTGGAAGCCAGTTCGACAGGAACACTTGTAGCTGCCAATGCTGTTTTTACATCTCTGCTGACAGGGAGTCCCTAGGCATTCATCAGTGTCTGGCAGGAAAAGGGACAAGACTGGGGTTCATTTCCCCAAGAGAACTTTGGAAACATGTGGTCCCCTCTTCCTCTCTCATCTCCATCTCCTATCCCACACAGGGCTGCGGGGAACCACCTTAGCTGCCACTCTTCTGCACTGCCCACATCCAGTCCTAAATACTCTCTGGACCAGCCCACGTCTCTCATCCTCACTGCTACCCCTTAGCCCGGCCACATTCATCTCTAGTCTGGAGAACAGCCACAGCCTCCAGTGTGTCTCTCTGTCTCTACCTAGGTTCCTTCAAGTCATCCTCTGCACAGCCTCCAGGATGTTCTGACCAAAGGGCACTTCTAATCAGGGCCCTCCCTGCTCAAAACCCCTCCGCTGCTCCCACGGGTCACAGACCTCATCTTAGGGTAAGACACCAATGCCGCCCCACAGCTCACGACGCCTTTGAACATAGTCCTGGTTGCCTTGCCCACCTCCTTCCTTGCCCCGACCTTCACTCTGGCTTAAATTCTTTTATTGTTTGTTTGTTTGTTGTTGTTGTTGTTGTTTGAGACAGAGTGTGGCTCTTTTTGCCCAGGCTGGAGTACAATGGCACAATCTCAGCTCACTGCAGTCTCCATCTCCTGGGTTCAAGCAGTTCTCCTGCCTCAGCCTCGCAAGTAGTTGGGATTACAGGCGCCACCACGCCTGAGTAATTCTGTATTTTTAGTAGAGATGGGGTTTCACCATGTTGGTCAGGCCAGTCTCAAACTCCTGACCTCAGGTGATCCACCTGCCTTGGCCTCCCAAAGTGCTGGGATTACGCAGGATTACGCCTGTGAGCCACTGCACCTGGCCACTGGCTTAAATTCTTGCCATCTTCCAAATGCACCATGCTCTTCTGGTGCTCCCCTTTTGCCCATGTTCTCTGTCTGCCTAGAATGCCTTTCTCTCTTGTCTGGCTGGAAAACTCCTAGTCATACTTCAAAACTCAGCTTCAGTGGAACCTCCTCTGTAAAAGTTCCCTAGTGCTGTTTGAAATTGTGAAAAACTGGAAATAATCTCCATGTTCATCAATAAGAGAAGAGTTAGTAAACTATGAAATATTTGCACTGCAGAGTCAGCAGTTAAAAGGAACAAGGCAGTCTATTTACCCTGATGTGGAAAGATCTTCAAGACCAACATTGGGCGGGGGTGGGGGGAACAAGCAAAGAAATGACTAGGTTCAAATCCCAACTCTGGCTGGGCACAGTGGCTCATGCCTGGAATCCCAGCCCTTTGGGGGCCAAAGGGGGAAGGACGGCTTAAGGCCAGGAATTTGAGACTAGCCTGGGCAACACAGCAAGACCCCATCTCTACAAAAAAAAAAAAAGAAAAAAAACCTTAGCGCTAATGGGATCTTAAGCAAGTAACAATTTCCTTAAGCCTCAGCGTTCCTATCAATAAAATGGAGATAAATAATACCAACATCACTGGGTAATTTTGAGGGCGAAAGGAGAAAATGCACGTAAAGTGCTTAGTCCAGGACCCAGGACCCGAGAGTTTAGCAACTATCGTATCTCTGTAAGTGCCGGTGTATGTACATACACATCATGGGAAAGGGCAGTCAGGGCACACAGCAGACCAATACCTGCATACTATGGACTAAACTCTGTCCCCTCAAAAATCGTGTTGAAGCCCTAACCGCCAATGTAATGGCATTTGGAAGATACAAAGATAAGTAGATAAGAAGATAATTAGGGTTACATGAGGTCATTAGGGTGTGCCCTATTGATGGGATTAGTGTCCTTGTAAGAAGAAACATGAGAGGCCTAGCTGGGTGGCTCACACCTGTAATTCCAGCACTTTGGGAGGCTGAGGCAGGCAGATCATTTGAGGTCAGGAGTTCGAGACCAGCCTGGCCAACATGGTGAAACCCTGTCTCTACTAAAAAAACAAAAATTAGCCAGGCATGGTGGCGCACACCTGTAACCCTAGCTATTTGGGAGGATTGGAGAATCGCTTGAACCCAGGAGGTGGAGGTTGCAGTGAACCGAGATTGTATCACTGCACTCCTGGGCGACAGAGGGAATGTCCTCTGTCCTCCTCCATGTCAAAAA